TATATACGTTCTAATTTAAAAATGTTAATTTTTGCATTACAATAATGATTGTGATTTTTTTTTGTGATAACTTGGAGGAAATGTGGTTATATGTCATGTAAATAATTAATATAAATATAATACATTATAATAAAATTTATATTTTAATCAAAATTTTATTTCTAACAATAGGCTTCAATTTATTAAGCAAATAAAATTTCTTATATTTTAGGGATGAAAAATGAGCTGGACATATTCACTAAATTCACTGTATTTTCGGTCTGTTTTTAAGTGGAATTTACTGCACAGGACTTGATTCTAAGCGTTTCTCACTATTTATTTTTTATCTTCAAGGCAACAAGTGACTGAGATCATCTTTGTGTTAAAAGCCATCAGCACTCTCATGGATTCCTTGAAAAAGACTCAACCAGAGAACGGTGAGATGGGTTTGTCCTTCAACATTATTTGAAAGCAACCATGACAGACTTCTGCATTTACATGAAATATAAATGTCAAGACAGGTATTGTTGGAACTGTGAAATATTCTATTGCCTACCTAGACAGAATTTTTGACAGGTTCCACGTTTTGCATCCTTGTTTATTTCTCTCCTCTTCCTCTTCCTGTCCGGGGGTCAGTGGATGGGAACGTGTGGGTTCAGGTGATCGCGCTCTACCCGACGCTAGTGGAGTGCATCACCTGCTCGTCTCCTGAAGTAAGCTCCGCCCTCAAAGACGCCCTGGGGCCCTTTAAAGACTTCATGCAACCGCCTGTCTCCAAAGTGCAGAACGGCGAATCGTGACTGAACGTTTTTATTCCACCGCAAACATGAATGTGACTGTTTCATACGCCGCGCGTGAAGACGATTCACCCCCATCGTCATGGTAACTGTTGATTGACAGCTCCAATCGCATCATTCGAAGCTTCTTCTAATACGAGCTGACGGTAGACTCTGATTGGCCGACGACTTTAACGATGTATTAACTGCTACGTTCAATTTGCAGTGTTTGTTGTTTTTATGGGTTTTTGCCCCCCCCCCCCCGGAGTTAATGTACAGTGTTTGGTGATTAGTGTTAAAGATTTAATTAAGAATGACCTATTGGGATTGAAAATCATTTAATAAGAGAGAACTACAAATCATAATAAATACATGAAGGGTGGTCTTTTTTTGTGTGAAATTTTCTCAACAGCAATGGGTTTTATGCAAGATCGTACTGTAACATTCCATGTCATCGTTAGTCACATTCAGAAGGGTGTGTACAATAATAAATGGTACAGTTCTATGAACATCAAACGTATTCATGAATCATATTTCACTTCCAGTAGAGCAGGTCAGTAGTTCATGTACATTCAATTATGACTTTTTAACATTTCACTCTTTTGAATGAAAATGAAGCATTAAATAAGTGTTTTAACATACAGTCAGGCAGTAATTATCACAGGATAACTGCAACCTGACAAGATAATCATCATATTAATTGATAGACTACTTATATGTATGTATGCACACACACACACACTCTGCTGGTCAAAAGTTTGGGATGAGTAAGGTTTTTTATGTGTTTTAAAGAAGTCTCTTCTGCTCATCAAGGCTGCATTTTTTTGAAATTAGCATATTAGAATGATTTCTGAAGATCATGTGACACTGAAGACTGGAGTAATGATGCTGAAAATACAGCTTTGATCACAACAATAAATTACATTTTACAATATATTAAAATTGAAAACCATTATTTTATATAGTAATAATATTTTACAATATTACTGTTTTTTCTGTATTTCTGATCAATTAAATGCAGCTTTGTTGAGCAGAAGAAACTTCTCCAAAAGACATTACAAATCTTACCGCTCCCAAACTTTTGACCAGCAGTATGTATTATAGAAATGCATGATCCGTTATCCAAATAATTCACTTGGATTGGTTTTACAGCAGAATGCAGTTGCGTTCCCATTCTTTTAATTTCTACTGCTAAACCAGTGTTTTTATGTTTTTGGGATGCAGCCATTTCGCCTGGAACGCTGTATTGGCCAATCAGCATCCAGGACGAGAACTATCCGTTTTATGTAGTATTTGTATTGAATTGTGTTTTTATTATCAACATTAAGCTCGTATAAAACACCTAATTTGCTATCTAAGAATGCGAAGCCTCTCGTGGATTCTGTTCTTATTGTAGGTCTCTACGGTAAGTGAGTGGCGATCAAATCAACTCATTCAAAAAAGCTCAGTACGGCGCCATTGGCTGAATACCGCGGGAGGCGTGGCCTCACTCGGGGGTGTGTGTGTCGTGGGCGGTGTCCCTCTGGCACCCCATTGGCTGCGCTCCCAGCCAATGGCGGAGCAGCTGAAGGGAGTGTAGCCCGCTCACGAGTACTACGACCATTCAGCTCGGACTCTTCGTTCAGCGCAGATTCTTGGAATTGGGTTCCCACGGATGCGGATTCGCTGCGTTCCCACGGGCTCCGAAAGCGATTCCGCCGTGCACTGGCTGAGGTAGTAGTTTGTGCTGTTGGTTGGGATGTGACATTGCCCGTTATGGAGATGACTGCGCAAGCTACTCCCTTGCCAGTGCTGGTTACACTCGTCCCAAGCTGGAATTCGCTCTGAGGAATTAGCTCCCTCAATCTTCTGAGGAAATATGATGCTTTTATGTCATATTTATGTGTGGTATAGTTCTAGTTGTGCATGTTAAAATTGTTCTGAGAGTTGTAGAGCTGTGTAAATGTGTGTTCAATGGTAAGTCTCGTTTAAATTCAATAAATTTGTACACGTTGCTGTGTTAAGCGTCTGATTTGTGCTTTTATTCATGTGTTTTAATGATCTGTTCTTTCTTGCCGCTATACCGGACGCTGAATTGTAAATGCATGGGGATTGGCCATATGCCCCAGTTTTCTTCAGTAAAGTACTGTTGATGATTTTTGTCGAGCACAGCAGAAAAGCAGATATTACCCTCGGGAACACAACGGGTAGGGTTATTCATTTGAATAGACGCTTGGTTTTGCCCTTGGGATGGCTAACACATGTAGGTCATACTCTACTGTTGCTATGAAGAGAGCTGTGACGTGGCTTTCTCTGCCCACTACGGTAGAGTCATCGATCGTGACGTCACGTGGTGAGAAACGACGCCACCTGGGCTGGTTTGGACTCGACCAGCGCACGTGCGTGGAAAATTAATATTTCATGTACATAGGTTACATGATTACATTTAATCGTAGAAAAAGTGCAGCTAATGTGGGATATGGAATGACGTGGTCTGATGTCATAAAAGGGTTTAGCCTCATTTAACCCTGAAGACCTCCATTAAACCAGGCTGTCTATCACTTAGAAATATGAATATGTGGGGGTGTTGAACATGCATTTTCTTGATCTGAATCCATTCCATTTTCATCTCAGAAGGGACGTGCACATATCTTATAAAAATAACGTTAATGAGAAGATAAACAGACCAGTCTTAATGTTGGTATATTTCATTTTAACATCGTGTTTACTGTGCTGGTGTCGGCTGTATGTTGCAGGCGGTGGTCAGTTAACTGGGTTTTATAGCGGAAGTACATGATAACGTGCTGACGTTATTCACGCAGTACGTACGTGGGCTGGAAGCATAACTCCGAGACTCGTTCAGAGTATTTGTCTTCCGACCAGGTTCACGACCCAGAGATGAAACGCAGGATCTCAAGTGCGGTTTATAGATGTTCATGTTTGAACCCAGGTTCAACTCAGCTGCATAAGATTCAATCGGTAGCCTACATGGTCTATCAAACTCTATCACAGCTGTCGGCTGGTCCTGGCGGTTAATCCATCCATTTGTCAAATATTTGAACTTCAGCACACTCCAACAACATGAGACTAAAAGACTGAGTGCACTTACTTCTGCTCCCAGCACGGTTTCATTCACAGAGGATGTTATGAAGTGTAATATCTTATATATAATATAGTATATTCAATCCAACAATTACAATAATTCACTTACCTAACCTCGTTCCAAACCTGTATGAGTTTCTTTCTTCAACTAGACGTTTCTCGGTTCCAACAAATAAAATATGACAACCTAATCAAAATGGACGCCTTGTGTATTTGATGTGAATGCTGAAACTGATGCTAGTCCATTCGCGGTCTTAAACTTACATTTAAGTTTCGCTACAAACAATAAAAAAAATAAGCAGTTTCAATGTTTTATACGATTCAGCGATCAACAAAGTCTGCCTCTATCCTTCACGGCAGTTGTTTCATTCGCGCCAAATATTTGAATTTTCAGACGCGCGAATGAGATTTGAAGGGACACGCGGGAAGATTTTCAACGAATACACTGCAAAAAAAAAAATTTTCTTCCTTAGTATTTTTATCTTGGTTTCTAGTATAAATATCTAAGAATTCTTGAATCAAGATGCATTTACTGGACAAGTAAAACAACTTAAGATATTACGTCTTGTTTTCCGGAAAAAACAAAAAAAAAATTGTTAGTTTTTGCTTAAAACAAGCCAAAAATATCTGCCAATGGGGCGAGAAAAATAATCTTGTTTAGCCTTTAATTGAAGATTATTTTTCTTACCCCATTGGCAGATATTTTTGCTTGTTTTAAGCAAAAACTAACAAGACATTATGTATTGTTTTGTGAAAAAAATTATCAAAATTTTAAGTTGTTTTACTTGTCCAGTAAACGCATCTTGATTCAAGAATTCTTAGTATTTTTGTCGTTTTCTAGTATAAATATCTAAGGAAGAAAATATTTTTTTGCAGTGTAACTTACTAAATAATGACAAAATGTTCAATTTGGTGTGAATTATGTCTTTATTATTTTAACAACTGTCTGGTATTTTTGTTTTTTACATAGAGAGTACATCATTTGGGAAAACATATGTAATTATTACTGTTATTTGAGAAAGATTCTATCTTCAATGAGTTTTTATTAAAATCTGTGGGCCAGCATTAATGGAGCCACATAAACAGTTTATGAATCATGTTTGCAGTGCATGTGTGTGTGCACTTCCCAGAAAGCTCCTTTAGTAAGCATGTGATGCCCTTGCAGCGCCATCCACCCACATAAACGACTACGCTAAAGTGTGTTAGCGAGCAATCCACACACACACACACACACACACACACACACAATCTCTGGCCAAATTAGTCTTGTTTTGGTCACACTCCGGTTGTGCTGACCAGATGGCCACTCTCTTGGGGAGTGTGTGTGTGTGTGTATGAAAGCCTTTCCAAATGCTCACAGCGGGTTTGTGCTGTAGAAGAGGAAGGTGCCACTGTGAACATGATGTATCGTAGTAAGTCAGACCTCACCGAACCTCAGAAGCTCCGGAGAACAGATTGCAGGTAGGTGTTAACTCACGACGGTGTGTATCGAAATCAAAGGGAATGGTCAGCGTACACAAGACTTATTTGTCGGATACGAGATTTATTGTTCCTTAAAAATGCATCATCCCAAAAATCTTACCGTGATGAATGGAAGATCAGATCGGCATTATTTAGCTTAGTACCTATTGCAAATTTACAGAGCACAGGGGAAACAAATACATTATCATTTACAGTAACTTGCAGTCGTTTGAAAACAGGATGCACAAATAATAGCAAGAATTGCTTTGATTATTTTTCTCAGGGAATGCAAAAAAGAAAACCGCAAACTAAACATTTAGAGGATAAATTAATATCCTGAAAGGAAAAGCCAAACATGGTTGGTTCCGCCTAGCTGCCAGATGTGTGCGGATAAACAAACTGCGGATGCTGCGCATCTGTCCATGGAGAACTCCAAAGAACCGGACCCAACTTTAGTCATTGTGCAAAGTTATAACTTATATACTGATCCCACCAACCCACACGGAGGTAGGGAACGTTGACGTGGGTCTTCAAAGTCAGCATTTGTCGACTTCTAACTCTTAAAAGCAAGTGTTCGTATTGTAAATGAGTTCAAACGCACAGCGGGATCCATAAACTCCAGCAGGACGCTGTCTGAGCATCTGAATGTTGGGTCAGGGACGGATTCGGTCCGATTCGGTTGGCGCCCTGCATTCTGATTGGTCAGCTTGGCGGAGGCTGTTTTATGCCATGCATTAGGGGAATTATGAAGACCGAGATGTCATCTCCAGAGCCGAGCCGGTCTCCAGCGATTCTCCAGCCTCGGTCCCTCAAGACACCTCTGGCCTTCATCACCAGGTCTTGAGCTGCCATTGTGTACCTGAAAAACAACGGAGATGCTATTCAGCGGATACTTTTATAGAGAGTTCAAATAACAGATTCATCCCTCCAAGAGTAACCTGAGGTTAAAGGAAGAGTTCACCCAAACTTGAAGATCTGTAACAGGTTGTTCCAAACCCCTATGACTTTATGTTTTGCAAAACGTCAGAAGACGACAATGTTCAGCCAGTTTTGGATGAAGAAGAAGAATATCTTGAAGTGTCTTTTGTGTGTCTTGATCAGTTGTGATGGTTCTTGAACCTAAAACCTTTCATAAACCAAAAATCAAGGTTCTTTATTGGAACTGATGGTCCCATGATGCACTTTTAACAATCATGGAAAGGTTCTTCATAGAGATTAGATTATTCAAGTGTTCTTCGCACTAAGAAACAAATGGTTCTTTTAAGAACTGATCAACACTCTTAAAAATAAAGGTGCTTCACGTAAATTACATTTTACAATATATTAAAATAGAAAACCATTATTTTAAATAGTAATAATATTTTACAATATTACTGTTTTTTCTGTATTTCTGATCAATTAAATGCAGCTTTGTTGAGCAGAAGAAACTTCTCCAAAAGACATTACAAATCTTACCGCTCCCAAACTTTTGACCAGCAGTATGTATTATAGAAATGCATGATCCGTTATCCAAATAATTCACTTGGATTGGTTTTACAGCAGAATGCAGTTGCGTTCCCATTCTTTTAATTTCTACTGCTAAACCAGTGTTTTTATGTTTTTGGGATGCAGCCATTTCGCCTGGAACGCTGTATTGGCCAATCAGCATCCAGGACGAGAACTATCCGTTTTATGTAGTATTTGTATTGAATTGTGTTTTTATTATCAACATTAAGCTCGTATAAAACACCTAATTTGCTATCTAAGAATGCGAAGCCTCTCGTGGATTCTGTTCTTATTGTAGGTCTCTACGGTAAGTGAGTGGCGATCAAATCAACTCATTCAAAAAAGCTCAGTACGGCGCCATTGGCTGAATACCGCGGGAGGCGTGGCCTCACTCGGGGGTGTGTGTGTCGTGGGCGGTGTCCCTCTGGCACCCCATTGGCTGCGCTCCCAGCCAATGGCGGAGCAGCTGAAGGGAGTGTAGCCCGCTCACGAGTACTACGACCATTCAGCTCGGACTCTTCGTTCAGCGCAGATTCTTGGAATTGGGTTCCCACGGATGCGGATTCGCTGCGTTCCCACGGGCTCCGAAAGCGATTCCGCCGTGCACTGGCTGAGGTAGTAGTTTGTGCTGTTGGTTGGGATGTGACATTGCCCGTTATGGAGATGACTGCGCAAGCTACTCCCTTGCCAGTGCTGGTTACACTCGTCCCAAGCTGGAATTCGCTCTGAGGAATTCGCTCCCTCAATCTTCTGAGGAAATATGATGCTTTTATGTCATATTTATGTGTGGTATAGTTCTAGTTGTGCATGTTAAAATTGTTCTGAGAGTTGTAGAGCTGTGTAAATGTGTGTTCAATGGTAAGTCTCGTTTAAATTCAATAAATTTGTACACGTTGCTGTGTTAAGCGTCTGATTTGTGCTTTTATTCATGTGTTTTAATGATCTGTTCTTTCTTGCCGCTATACCGGACGCTGAATTGTAAATGCATGGGGATTGGCCATATGCCCCAGTTTTCTTCAGTAAAGTACTGTTGATGATTTTTGTCGAGCACAGCAGAAAAGCAGATATTACCCTCGGGAACACAACGGGTAGGGTTATTCATTTGAATAGACGCTTGGTTTTGCCCTTGGGATGGCTAACACATGTAGGTCATACTCTACTGTTGCTATGAAGAGAGCTGTGACGTGGCTTTCTCTGCCCACTACGGTAGAGTCATCGATCGTGACGTCACGTGGTGAGAAACGACGCCACCTGGGCTGGTTTGGACTCGACCAGCGCACGTGCGTGGAAAATTAATATTTCATGTACATAGGTTACATGATTACATTTAATCGTAGAAAAAGTGCAGCTAATGTGGGATATGGAATGACGTGGTCTGATGTCATAAAAGGGTTTAGCCTCATTTAACCCTGAAGACCTCCATTAAACCAGGCTGTCTATCACTTAGAAATATGAATATGTGGGGGTGTTGAACATGCATTTTCTTGATCTGAATCCATTCCAGTTTCATCTCAGAAGGGACGTGCACATATCTTATAAAAATAACGTTAATGAGAAGATAAACAGACCAGTCTTAATGTTGGTATATTTCATTTTAACATCGTGTTTACTGTGCTGGTGTCGGCTGTATGTTGCAGGCGGTGGTCAGTTAACTGGGTTTTATAGCGGAAGTACATGATAACGTGCTGACGTTATTCACGCAGTACGTACGTGGGCTGGAAGCATAACTCCGAGACTCGTTCAGAGTATTTGTCTTCCGACCAGGTTCACGACCCAGAGATGAAACGCAGGATCTCAAGTGCGGTTTATAGATGTTCATGTTTGAACCCAGGTTCAACTCAGCTGCATAAGATTCAATCGGTAGCCTACATGGTCTATCAAACTCTATCACAGCTGTCGGCTGGTCCTGGCGGTTAATCCATCCATTTGTCAAATATTTGAACTTCAGCACACTCCAACAACATGAGACTAAAAGACTGAGTGCACTTACTTCTGCTCCCAGCACGGTTTCATTCACAGAGGATGTTATGAAGTGTAATATCTTATATATAATATAGTATATTCAATCCAACAATTACAATAATTCACTTACCTAACCTCGTTCCAAACCTGTATGAGTTTCTTTCTTCAACTAGACGTTTCTCGGTTCCAACAAATAAAATATGACAACCTAATCAAAATGGACGCCTTGTGTATTTGATGTGAATGCTGAAACTGATGCTAGTCCATTCGCGGTCTTAAACTTACATTTAAGTTTCGCTACAAACAATAAAAAAAATAAGCAGTTTCAATGTTTTATACGATTCAGCGATCAACAAAGTCTGCCTCTATCCTTCACGGCAGTTGTTTCATTCGCGCCAAATATTTGAATTTTCAGACGCGCGAATGAGATTTGAAGGGACACGCGGGAAGATTTTCAACGAATACACTGCAAAAAAAAAAATTTTCTTCCTTAGTATTTTTATCTTGGTTTCTAGTATAAATATCTAAGAATTCTTGAATCAAGATGCATTTACTGGACAAGTAAAACAACTTAAGATATTACGTCTTGTTTTCCGGAAAAAACAAAAAAAAAATTGTTAGTTTTTGCTTAAAACAAGCCAAAAATATCTGCCAATGGGGCGAGAAAAATAATCTTGTTTAGCCTTTAATTGAAGATTATTTTTTTTACCCCATTGGTAGATATTTTTGCTTGTTTTAAGCAAAAACTAACAAGACATTATGTATTGTTTTGTGAAAAAAATTATCAAAATTTTAAGTTGTTTTACTTGTCCAGTAAATGCATCTTGATTCAAGAATTCTTAGTATTTTTGTCGTTTTCTAGTATAAATATCTAAGGAAGAAAATATTTTTTTGCAGTGTAACTTACTAAATAATGACAAAATGTTCAATTTGGTGTGAATTATGTCTTTATTATTTTAACAACTGTCTGGTATTTTTGTTTTTTACATAGAGAGTACATCATTTGGGAAAACATATGTAATTATTACTGTTATTTGAGAAAGATTCTATCTTCAATGAGTTTTTATTAAAATCTGTGGGCCAGCATTAATGGAGCCACATAAACAGTTTATGAATCATGTTTGCAGTGCATGTGTGTGTGCACTTCCCAGAAAGCTCCTTTAGTAAGCATGTGATGCCCTTGCAGCGCCATCCACCCACATAAACGACTACGCTAAAGTGTGTTAGCGAGCAATCCACACACACACACACACACACACACACACACAATCTCTGGCCAAATTAGTCTTGTTTTGGTCACACTCCGGTTGTGCTGACCAGATGGCCACTCTCTTGGGGAGTGTGTGTGTGTGTGTATGAAAGCCTTTCCAAATGCTCACAGCGGGTTTGTGCTGTAGAAGAGGAAGGTGCCACTGTGAACATGATGTATCGTAGTAAGTCAGACCTCACCGAACCTCAGAAGCTCCGGAGAACAGATTGCAGGTAGGTGTTAACTCACGACGGTGTGTATCGAAATCAAAGGGAATGGTCAGCGTACACAAGACTTATTTGTCGGATACGAGATTTATTGTTCCTTAAAAATGCATCATCCCAAAAATCTTACCGTGATGAATGGAAGATCAGATCGGCATTATTTAGCTTAGTACCTATTGCAAATTTACAGAGCACAGGGGAAACAAATACATTATCATTTACAGTAACTTGCAGTCGTTTGAAAACAGGATGCACAAATAATAGCAAGAATTGCTTTGATTATTTTTCTCAGGGAATGCAAAAAAGAAAACCGCAAACTAAACATTTAGAGGATAAATTAATATCCTGAAAGGAAAAGCCAAACATGGTTGGTTCCGCCTAGCTGCCAGATGTGTGCGGATAAACAAACTGCGGATGCTGCGCATCTGTCCATGGAGAACTCCAAAGAACCGGACCCAACTTTAGTCATTGTGCAAAGTTATAACTTATATACTGATCCCACCAACCCACACGGAGGTAGGGAACGTTGACGTGGGTCTTCAAAGTCAGCATTTGTCGACTTCTAACTCTTAAAAGCAAGTGTTCGTATTGTAAATGAGTTCAAACGCACAGCGGGATCCATAAACTCCAGCAGGACGCTGTCTGAGCATCTGAATGTTGGGTCAGGGACGGATTCGGTCCGATTCGGTTGGCGCCCTGCATTCTGATTGGTCAGCTTGGCGGAGGCTGTTTTATGCCATGCATTAGGGGAATTATGAAGACCGAGATGTCATCTCCAGAGCCGAGCCGGTCTCCAGCGATTCTCCAGCCTCGGTCCCTCAAGACACCTCTGGCCTTCATCACCAGGTCTTGAGCTGCCATTGTGTACCTGAAAAACAACGGAGATGCTATTCAGCGGATACTTTTATAGAGAGTTCAAATAACAGATTCATCCCTCCAAGAGTAACCTGAGGTTAAAGGAAGAGTTCACCCAAACTTGAAGATCTGTAACAGGTTGTTCCAAACCCCTATGACTTTATGTTTTGCAAAACGTCAGAAGACGACAATGTTCAGCCAGTTTTGGATGAAGAAGAAGAATATCTTGAAGTGTCTTTTGTGTGTCTTGATCAGTTGTGATGGTTCTTGAACCTAAAACCTTTCATAAACCAAAAATCAAGGTTCTTTATTGGAACTGATGGTCCCATGATGCACTTTTAACAATCATGGAAAGGTTCTTCATAGAGATTAGATTATTCAAGTGTTCTTCGCACTAAGAAACAAATGGTTCTTTTAAGAACTGATCAACACTCTTAAAAATAAAGGTGCTTCACGATGCCACAGAAGAACCTTTTTGTCTAAATGGTTCCATAAAGAACCTTTAACATCTGAAGAACCTTTCTGTTTCACAAAAGCTTCTTTGTGGAGAAAGAAGGTTCTTCAGATTATAAAAAGGTAAGAGAGAGATGGTTCTTTAAAGAACCTTTGACTGAATGGTTCTATGTGGAACCAAAAATGGTTCTTCTATGGCATCGCTTGAACCTTTTGAAGCACCTTTATTTTTAAGAGTGAATGGAAAATTCTTTGAGGAACCAAAAGTGGTTCTTCGCTTAGAAAACCACTTTAAGCAAAATCACATTCTCTTGTACGCTGCCCAAAATAACCCATCATGGTGTGCAGGGTTGCACGAGTAGATGGTTGATGCTCAACCAACACTGAGGAACCTGCCTGTGCTGGTCATCAGGGTCACAGTTTCCAAGGAAACCAGATACCGCCTCTGCCACTTCCTGATTGGACAGCACGTCCCAGAGTCCATCTGTAGCCAGGATCATGACGTCATCGGCGCCGTGCTCAAACTGAGAGAGGTTATAGATCTTCACCTGTAGAGATCACAACATGCTTCAGTCCTATTATAATGCACAGACATGGACGTGCACGTTGTTATATTTTAATGCGGCAATAATTAGTGCATCAAATGATTTTAAATGGTTGTGTAGCTTGTCAACTGTAAACACCCCACGAATTTTATAACTCTATTGTTTAGTGTGATTAGCATCATTAATTTAATTATTTTAGGGGTGTGCTGATATTAAAATTCAGTAAATTGATTAAATAAATTCTGAATAAATTCAGTGATGGACAGTTTTATAAATGAAAAATTGTATTACTTTTTTAATTTATTAAAAGTATATAATACATTAAAAAACATTAATCACAATGTTATAAAAAATGTCAGAAAAATGGATATTCATTTTAGGATTTATTTATATATTTATATATATATATATATATATCTCATCAGTCAGTGAAAGTCAGTGAAAATTACAATTAAAGTGAGATATTAGTATTTAAGAAATTTGAGATTTATAAACAAAATTTTAAGTGAGCATTAATGCATTATTTTCATCGCAAGAACGTGGTAAAAAAATCAATTGTAGTCAAATAAATAAACAAATTATTAAACATATTTAAAAGGACTAAAAAATAGACAGAACGATGAAATCTATATAAGATTTATTAGGTAGCATTAAATGACAGCTCAGGTAATTTAAATGTAAAAATAGGGTAAAAAAAAACCTATGCACAATTATATTTTGAATATAAATCAATGCCGATTCATTTAAAAACAATGCATAATATTTGGTGATAACGAATATGGTGCTTAAATATTTAATAAATAATTTAAGGAACATATATATGTCTTGTTGTATTGCTTCTGCCGCTGCTGTTTCGTGCCTTAAATCACTCGTGGCTTATTGCTTTAGTTATACATGCATCTGTCCTGACAGACTCAAACCTTCAGTGTCTATGGTGGCTGTTTTTCTTTAAAGCTACATTTCAGCCTTAAAACAGACCGGCCAAACACGCTCACAATCCCATAAGCCTGTTATTTCTTGTCTCTGGTGCATTATCTCGGGCAGACAGAGATCGTGTCTCAGTGAGCGTGACTGCGGAACGATCTCACTGATCCACATGAACACATTCACCAGATGATTAAGACTAGTTTTGATGCTTAAAGTGGAAATTAAAAAAATACAAAAATCTCTCGGATGTTTTCCCCAACAATTCTGTACTAATGCATGAGAATGAAAAAATAAAGTTATTTAAATAATTATTTAAATTATAATATTAATCATAATGTATCCTAAATAATTGTTTCCATATACAAAAATAACAATAATAATATTTACACAATTGAATTAATTTATTCAACATTTAAATAATAATAATTTCTATTTAATTATAATACGTATTTAATTACATATACATAATAAAATAATTACATAATAGATAGATAGATTAAAATAAAAAATAA